CAAAAATACTTTTTGGCTGGATTAAAGGTTTTAAAACTTGGTAAGATGGACAGTTTTTGCAGTGTACAACCTTTTCAAATGCTGTCAGCTGCTGGTTCTGTTAATCAGTCGACTCAGGATTCAGTTCTGAGTGACAGGATTTATTTGTGAGTTTGTCTTTAGAGAATTCACTTCTGCTTCAGTCGACGAGTTCAGAAGGTGAGATTATGCTTCTCTCATGAATTGTTTTGTGAGTTAACTAGCGAGGGGTTTCAGTTAMAGTACTGACAGTACTAATTCAACTAGTACCTCAGGTATTGATTAAGCTACTTTATGTTTTTATACATTGCCAGTGACACTGTGCTGCTCTGTTGTTCTTTGTTTTACAGGCCCTAATCATTCATGTGGACAATAATCAAGACATTTTTAAGTGTTAGCRCTCTSTTTCTTCATTTTACTTTTCTTGTCATTAACACTTGTTTGTGCTAAAGACTTGTGTCCAAGCTAGACTGATGTGTTTCTGTTGTTGAATCTGTGTTTTTTCTGTTGTTTTTCTTTAGTATCACACTGTCGTTGCTGCCATTTTACCTGAAATTTATACTGTTAATGACAATTTTTATTCAACAACTGTGGTTGGAATCATAATTTCACAAAAGTTGACATTAAGAAATTTGTTATTTTGTTCTGTGAATTAAAAAAACATTTTAATGAATCTGTTTTCTTATTTATTTTGTAAATTTTGATGGAATCGTGGGAATTTGCAGATTTTATTAAACCGATATGCACATCCTGTAAATTATGACAAAACTAGTAAATTTCAGTACATAAACTGTAAAAAATGGGTGTCTTTCCTAATAGTAATTTGCTGTTATTTTACAGTTACTTTACTGTAATCCAGTTTACAGTAATATACTGYTGAAATAMATTACAGTAACTGCAGTAAATWACTGGCGTCACTGCTGCCAGTAATTTATTGTTGTTGTTTTTTTAACAGTAAAATCCTTTACAATGTATAAGTGAATCATTCATTGTTTAATGTATGGATGTGTTGTTACACCCCTAATGTGAAACTAAAGCCAGGAAGTTATCGACCCAGATATCCATGCTGAAGTTCAGACACATATTCCTGCTCGGCCACATCACATCGCTGATCTAAATGTCCAACAAAACTGAAAAAGTCCTAAATACCTGCTGTGGGGGTCTGACAGCTTGGACGTGCAGCAGAAACTTCTTGGAGATAGGAAGACTGTCCCAAACAAATGTCAGAGCGCTCTGGGCTGGTTCTGTCCTGTAGTGGAGGTGGGCTTGTTTCCAGTGGAGGTGGGCTTGTTTCCAGTGGAGGTGGGNAGTGGAGGTGGGCTTGTTTCCAGTGGAGGTGGGCTTGTTTCCAGTGGAGGTGGGTAACCATCTGAAGGTCCTGCTCTGCTGGATTGTTTCACATGAAGTTTCAATGAATCCTGACTGCTGTAGACGGGAGTTTGTGGGTCCAGCTGTTTGGAAACYGAAGAGTCCGACCCAGTGCTGCTGACGTGTCTGACCCAGCCTCCACTTTCCAACAGTTTATTCCTGTGTGTCGGACCCTGACCACTGGTTTTTACAGAACCTGCGTTACATGAAGCACGATGTAAGAGTTGTAGCTCACCCTCTGTACTCTGCTGTACAGTGCCAGCAGAAAGAGAGCTCACGCTTAGTTTGTGTGGGCCAGAAACTGTTTGTGAGACCATCTCACCTTGGACCACCATGCTGYCAGCACAACGGGTCTGAAGAAGAGCTTGTTCATCCTCCAGRGTCTTCAGGTCTCTGAGCAAAGCCGATGACGTCGAGCTGGCTGCAGAGCTCTGAGTCTGTGTGAGCCTGCTGACATGGCTGCTGYTCTGGGCTCGTTGGGACGGACCCTGAGGGGAACCAGGTCCAGCTGAAGACGTGGACGTGTCACTGTCAGACACCAGAGGTGTTRTTGTCTCTGTGCTGAGCAGCTGTAGAGACTTTCCTCCATCGGTTTCTTTCTGAGTTTTTGTCTGTTCACAGTTCCCTGTCTTGTCAGAGTCCACTGTGCCAAAGGTTTGGACTTYATTCTGAGAACCTCCAGGCAACGCTGCCTTAATGTCACATGTCTGTGACTGGCTTGGATCATGCTCTATTTGTGGTGCAATCAGGGCCAGCTGCTCATCAGAGATAATCTGGAGGCAGATCTGGAAGTCTGCCRTGTTGACATGAAAAACATTCTGAGCGGACTGGTCCAATGACCCGACAGAACCAGGTACAGCTGGCTCACTGGGGCCAACGTGGGCTTTGTTGTTGGGATGTGCAGAATCTGGTTCTGCTGAGAGTTGTTCCGGTAACAATGAAGGGTTGGGCTGAGGCTGGTGATGTGAAACAGCTGCACTGGTGGCAACAGATGTGGAACGTTGTTCTGTGGTCAGAGATAACCTGTCAGCTGCAGCTGTGACAGGCTGGGCTGGTTGTACAGGCACAGACTGCAGGAGGGTGCACGAATGTTGGAGGGAGCTTGTGGTTGTCGTGGTTGTTGCAAAGTGCCTGTGCAGAACTGCTGGACTAGATGTCAGACTCTGACTGTTCTTTGATGTCGCAGCATCACAAAGAGTCGTAACGTTGCCGTAGACGAGCCGGTTCTCTGTGAAGCCTGGTGTTTTCACACTGCTGTTTTTGTACGTTTGTGTCAGTGGTGAGGAGGAAAAGCCTCCACAGGCGGTCCCTGAGGGGAAGGTTTGGTCAGAGGTAGTAGGTAGGGGACTGGAGCTGAGTGTGCACTCCACATGTGATGCTGAGTCCAGCGTTTCACCACGAGTGTTGGGTAACTTGAGCTGGTACTTGGGCAGGAAGCTGGTCTTGGCAGCGACAGGGGTAGACCTGGCTGKTGAAGTGCCAATGGATGGTAGAAAGAGGGCTCCTTTGAGCTCAGTGTGTTTGGGAGTTCTGGGCTGATTAGTTTCCTGCTGTGACCCACTGCCGGTCACAGGGRTGGGGGGATGAGTCAGTGTGTTTGGGTCAGTTTCCATGTCTACAKAAAAACTCGTTTTGTCGTCAGTTCTCTGTTTTTTCCTGTCAGAGGGAGCGTGAGCCTCACAGAGCTGAGACTTGGGACATTTGGGAACATTCAGAGGTTGCCCGGTCGTTGTTTCTGAGCAAAGCAGCGACCCAACAGCAGGTAATGGCAGGACTGACAGTGATAAGTTTCTCCTGAGTGGAGCTTTGCTGGGACTGCTGGTTGAAATAGTAAATCCCAGTGAAGAGACCACAGAGAGACCAGCACCAGGACGGCCTGCTGTAGCTCCGCTGTTTGGACAGTTTAYTGTTGAAGTTGAAGTTGTGAGCGCCTCCCTGGGAACCACTGGACCCCGAACAACCTCAGGCTGTRGATTTGTTGAACAGTTTTTGCCTCTCATGCTGTTATTTGTATTGTTCTGCAGATCGTAGAGTTTTTTAAACGTCCCACCCCCGTACATGTACCACTTATCATAAGCAAACTTCTGCGCTCTCTTCCTCCGGAACTTTCTGGTGTTCGGCTCTCCACAAATGTCACCTCCGTCTCCGTCACAGCTGAGACTGCCGGTGCACACCTCCTCCACAGATACATTTGTGAACGGGCCGTCTGTTGCGTGGTTGCAGTCTACGGCTGTCTGCCGGACCAGTGGGCGGTGTGCAGAAGAGTTCTGGTTTACAGGCCTCCTGGATAAATCTGTTGAGTGGACCGGGCCAGAGCTTCCACTCCTGRCAGCCTTTACATAATCGCTCTGCTGGGGGGAGGCGGAGCTGCTTCTCTCAGGCTGCATGAGGGTGAAGTTGAAGGGAAGGGAATGACTGCGGGTTAAGGGGGCGTGCTCCACAGCGGAGGGCAGCGAGCTGGAGAKTCCAGACCTGCTGTACCTTTTCAAACCAGTATTCTGGGTCGGACCGATCTTCATGTCGAAGTGGAAGGAGTTCTTGTAGGTGTAGGGCATGGGAAGGTCAATGCTGCCCTGCTTTGAAAGGACAGTCTTCCTCGGCCGGACGTTCTCCAGCTGTTTGTCCTCCACAACAGCTGAATTCTCTGAAATGAGCTTGGATATACGCTCCAGCAGCAGCTCTTGCTCCTGTTTCCTCGCTGTGGTTTGTGGCTCACAGTGGGCTCTGTCACAGGATGTGCTTTTCTCAACACGTTCCCTGCTAGATTCCATCAGGGAATCCATGCTGTGCTCGAGTAAAACACTGCCTGGACTGTCGCTGAAACCAGAGTCAGTGCTGTCATGACTCAGCGATTTCCCTTTGGAGACAGAGCTGCCCCACTGCTTGGAGAACAGAGTAGCTTCCTGCCGCTGTAGAGGAACGTGTCGATTCAGACTGTCAGGTTTTGTATAATCCGTCTGTTGTTCCTGCTCTTCTTTGGGTTGTGGGTTGTGAAGTGTGATGCTGGGCTCACTCTGCTCACTAACAGAGCCTTGCAGCGGAACACAGTAGACCTCTGCAGATGCAGCAGTGCACTCGGTGGTTGGTGGTCCAGACTCTTCCTTCTGTTCGTCCAGAGAAGAGCTGGAGGCGCAGGTGTCTCTGGAGCTGGACACACTGTCCAGGCTGCCCAGGCTGCTCTGCTCAGACTCAGAGGAGAGCCGGGCGTGMGCCTGGGTGCGCCTGTGTTTGTACAGGTTGCTCTGCGTTTTGAAGGACACGCCACACGTGCTGCAGGGGTAGGGCCGCTCCCCCGTGTGGCAGCGCAGATGCTTCTCCAGCACACTGGGCTTCAGACAGTCCCGCCCGCAGTGGGGGCACAGGTGTTTACCTGYAGACTTGGGTTTTGCTGCAGGAGCGGTCAGACTCAGGCCGGGCAGAGGCTGCAGGTGCAGCGTCAGGAAGGGGAGCGCCTCCTTGGAGCAGAGCGGCGGCTCTGCAGCAGCAGGAGGCACAGCGTGGAGATAAACAGCTGTTAGAGGGACCTGGATGTTCAGCCTCTTCTCTGCCTGCGTTGTGACGGAGCTGAGAACACTCGCCAGTCCTGGCTTWCCAGTTTCCATGGTAACGTCTCTGCTGTCGTGATGTACTGGTGCTGGGTTTATAATTACCTGGAAGATAAGAACAGTTTGTATTAGATTTATTTGCTTCAGAAAAGAGGAGATGTATTGGGTTGTTTTCAGTCAGAAAACAAGCCCAGAAAAACATTTTTGTTTGACAATAGACTAAAATCCAAACAGATGTTCTGCAGCACACAAACACACATCACACAAACACAAACGCCTTCATGTTGTAGTGATGTCGTTGTCGAGAAGCATTGCACAGCACACACAGACAAACTGAAGACATCTGAAYCTGAAGTGCAGGAGAGACAAGAATGCAGGTCTTTGTTCTGTGCAGCAGAGATGAAGAACAGTGACTCATAGCGGGGCGGGGGGACGGGGGTCAGATCAGATGCCAGAGCATCAAAAGCTTTTATCTGTCCAGGTGAACAATGTCTGCTCACATAAATTATCATCACCTCGGCTGTGTCTGATCACCCAGCATGATGTGGTGGAGTAGAGCCAGTCTGTTACATGAACATTAACATACAGTCAGTCTGTTACAGGAACAGTAACATACAGTCTGTCTGTTACATGAACATTAACATACAGTCAGTCTGTTACAGGAACATTAACATACAGTCTGTCTGTTACATGAACGTTAACATACAGTCAGTCTGTTACATGAACGTTAACATACAGTCAGTCTGTTACATGAACGTTAACATACAGTCAGTCTGTTACAGGAACATTAACATACAGTCAGTCTGTTAC